GGTGCACCACGTGGAGGTAAGTCTATCGCGCACCCCACCCATAGGTGCATATAGTGGTGCGTATAGCAAGATGGTAGAATGTGAGATTCTCAAAAGAGAAATGAGGATGCCATCCATCTAATCAAAACAATCGGTGTGAACACTACTCTTAGATATTTTTGAAAATTTTTGACAAGTCCCACACAAAGATACCGGCGAAATTCCCCTCTGTTGACAGTTTTGATTTTCTACTGAAAAATTACATTTGTTGCACATTTTCTGGATACCATTCGATCATCTAATGCGTCTTGGCGATCTTGTGAAAACAAGAAACTGCATACCTTATATGTGTAGTAAGCGAGATTAGGCATCATATCGAGGAGGTGGTGGGGCACAAAAGTCCCTCCCGAGAAGGCGTCTGTGTGTTCAGTTGAGTGAAGGTAAGTTGCGTCTAACTGGTGCTCGCCCTTATTCAGACGAAATTTAGTCCGAGTGAGGTCTCGAAGACACTGTTGCTTGTTGCTGCTTTTATCTGGGTCGAAGGGTGATGAAAAATCAGTTACCCATGGCAAAACTGCACTGGCTGTCGGATCACCAGCTTTTCTTCCAGCCAAACGATTGATGTACATAAGATAGTCGTAGTTGGATATCTGAATTGAATGGAAGAGTAATGACAGAATAATTAGTCATGTGAGCAAACTATATTTTCGTATTAATCTCTAGGCCTATATGGGAAGTACGGAAATAGACGAAAACAACGAAACCATCTAATTAAGAAACTTAAATGCAGCGATTTTTCTACCGATTTATTAACAAATTTAGAGCTGACACCACAACAACTTTAAAATAAAAGGAAATAGGTCATTGTAGAAGATACGTTTTTCGGTTTATGAGCCCAAAAAATATAAAACCTGATCATAAAATAGATTTGCCACTTGATTTACTAAATTACGCCCTTGATATGTTAAATAAGCAAGTCGAAATAAAAAAACCAATCTTAACAGATTTATTTACAAGTAAAAAATAGCAGGAAAGCTAGCATAAACTCATAACGGTTGTGACAAAAAATCCAATTTCAAATTTCCTATTTTTTAAATCAGAAAATAAATATGATAGGGGGTTTATAAATAAATAGACATAATTCACATTAACAAACGACTGAAAACAATAGATGACACGATCGCTAACATTTTGGAGGAGAGTTTCTTCGTACTAACAGCAGGTAGGAGTGGGAATGTTATTAAATTTTGCTATTTCATTATCATAATTTCCGTCACTACTTCCCCTAGGGACAAATGAGGAAAAATTAATGTATCATATCGAACATTAACTTAAAAGTACACTTACGTTTCTGAGAACCCACCCGCAAAGAACTTTATAAAATTCACTCGAGTTCTTTATTTCACATGTATTATCCACAAAGAGATCGGCAGAATTAACAGGAAATCGGGTTGAATCTTCTATATTTTGTTCAGGTGGGGCAATATTGACTTGCAATAGATTATTAACGAAAATGTTCTTGGTCGCCAAATTTAAATAAGGAATTCTTTGATTGTGAAAGCACTCAAGAAGGCAAATGATCTAGAGAAAAGTTAAAGCACTATAAAAAGAGCATACTTGATAAAAAACGTACTGTAGAGATAACTCGTTTTTGAGAAGAACGGGGTTATATTTGATAGCAGAGGATAGACTACGCCCCTGAAATTTTGCAATTGATTCATCATCACTAAGCATAACAGCCGTACTTTCTTGGCACTCCTCGTACAATTTGACCGCCTTTTGAACGATTTCATGTACCTTTTTGATTAGCAGAATTAAAAATGCACATGTACTTACAATATTTGGCTGCTCATATGCTGAATCTAATCTTGAATGTATAAAACGCTTAAGATTAACAGCCACGAGTTCTTCGTCGTTCTTCAAATCTAGCCTGCGTATATAGGTCAGCGCTTTGGAGAATTCGCATTCAATATTGTCATCGGACAATTTCGATTCTTGACTGAAATAAAAGTTAAGAAATAATGAGATTAAGTTACAGACAAGTGTCCGGGTGCTCAAATGGAAATCTCCATGTGAAATTTTTATTCTCATCAGTCATTTGCAGTTTCTTGAACACAGTGGAATGTATGAATAGTAATAGATTTCGATAACAAATTGGAAGACGAATAAAAATGATTGAGTTATTAAGCAGAAGACCTTTCAATAGAGACGATCAGGCATCAAAATTAATTTACTTGCTACATCGTAAAATTGTACAAAATTGAGCAAGAGTATAAACCATATCCATTAAGAGCAAAAGGCTGAAATGGCATACACTTATAATCCTAGTCTGTAATCAATCTGACCTAATAATATGGTGGTAACAATTTTATTATGGGTTTAAATAAAAGTAATTAAGAGAAATATTTTTTAAAAGAACCGCTTTTAACTATATGGTTCGATCCGATACATGCCTTTGTTCATAAGTCAAATGGTCATTCTTCATTAGTAATTATCAAAATTTTCCGTCCTACGTTGATGTAAACATTGAACGTCTAGTACCAAAATCTAAAGCTAATGAGACTTTAAAATATTAATTGTCTACATTTTATTCAGACCCAGAGATAAAATAGGCAGTGCCCAAGAGTTGAAACAAAACTATGTTATTGAAACTGAAAACTAATATAAATAATAGTTATTTTCATTGCATTGATGAAGAAGATTGAAATGATTCTATATGTAAGACATTTTGCTTGAGAAATTTAGCCGAATTTTAATGAAAGCTGTTTTGACTATTTTTGCATTTATATTTCTAATGGTAGTGTGTGCGATAGGCATATCTCCGTGTGGTACACTGGGCCATGTTTACACACACGATCAGCAAAAAACCTATAAACCGAAAGTTGACTTATGACTTCAAACTACCATGGCCCGACTGCATGTCATATTCGACCCTTTCCACAGTACTTATCTTACCTAGTTTCCGCCTTTGTATCTGACTGTATCCTTTAAATCTGCGAATCATTATTCTGTCCCCCTCTCATCTTTTTGTCACTTTGATGCTTCTCTTCCTCTCTATGAAGCCCGAAATCAACTAAAGGGCTAATGATAACTATCAAAACGTCTGCCATTCGAAATAAATAAATAAATATTTCTAATGGTTCTCCGTACTAACTAGGCTCTATCTTAGTCTTCTGTCCAGGTACCTTTAAATGTATGAAAAGATGACTCTTCTATTTTTATACAATGCCAATGTTAAGATACTTTTTTCCGAGTGTACAATATCGTTAGATACTTGCGAAAGTTCGCCTATTAGTAATTCAAATAAAATAACTTTTTAAGAATAACACTAAGAATAGGGCATTGATGTTTAAAACTCAGTAAGTCAGCATTGTATCGTTTTTAGTACTTTAACGCCTCAGAATTTATAAATCTATGTTTGCTAACAATATTTTTTTCTATTGAAAGATAAATAAGCCTTAACTATTCAAAGAAGTATAAAAATACAACTGAAGCATGAATAATATTAATCTCCAGAAATGTATTCCTATTTAAATAATCTTAGTCATCACTGACCTTAAATTTGGTAAGTTGCCGTATTTGCACTTGACTATGGGTAAAGATTATCTTGGAAAAGACCAGAGACGTGTGAAAGAAGATACAGATGATAAGGAAATTAAAGGTATAATACATTTTAATTTTTAATCTTTAGCTTTGGATGAGGTTGATATTGCTCTTCTGAAAACTTACGTGAGTTTACGTTTTGAACATATTTTTAGGGTGCGGCACCTTATAACGACGAAATTAAAAAATGTGAAGAAGATATCAATAGTGTAATGAAAAGAGTTAATGAGCTTACGGGTATATTTAACGTTTAGTCTGATTTTTTCTTAGGAATTAAGGAATCGGACACTGGACTTGCTCCTCCTGCACTCTGGGATCTTGTCGCTGATAAAGTCTGTTTATCAAGTAATATAATTGTGCTTCTAAGCGTATGTTTTAGGTGATCATCCATTGCAGGTGGCTCGTTGCACCAAGATTATTAATTCGGATTCTGAAGAACCTAAATATATTATTAATGTCAAGCAGTTTGCTAAATTCGTGGTAGATTTAGCTGAATCGGTTGCTCCAACTGATATCGAGGAAGGAATGCGCGTTGGTGTTGATCGAACAAAGTATCAGATTCACATTCCGTTGCCTCCTAAAATTGATCCTTCTGTTACCATGATGCAAGTTGAAGACAAACCAGATGTTACGTACAGTGACGTTGGCGGCTGCAAGGAACAAATTGAAAAACTAAGGGAGGTTGTTGAACTTCCACTCCTTCATGTAATAATCGTTTTAGAGTATATAATTTCCACTATCTAAAATATTTATCTGGGATTTTCCCTTTGAATGTTTCAGCCTGAAAAGTTTGTCAGTCTTGGCATCGAACCTCCAAAGGGTGTATTACTGTATGGCCCTCCCGGAACTGGTAAAACTCTGTGTGCCCGGGCTGTAGCTAATAGAACGGATGCCTGTTTCATTCGAGTAATCGGTTCCGAGCTCGTGCAGAAATATGTTGGTGAAGGTGCTCGTATGGTTCGTGAGTTATTCGAATTGGCTCGCTCCAAGAAGGCTTGCATTATATTTTTCGATGAAATTGATGCGATCGGTGGCGCTCGATTTGATGACGGTGCTGGAGGGGATAATGAAGTTCAACGAACCATGCTGGAGTTGATCAACCAGTTGGATGGTTTCGACCCTCGTGGTAATATCAAGGTTCTCATGGCGACTAATCGGCCTGACACTCTTGATCCAGCCCTCGTACGACCGGGTCGACTTGATCGTAAAATTGAATTCGGATTGCCGGATCTTCCCGGCCGAACACACATCTTCAAAATTCATGCCAGATCGATGTCTGTTGAAAAGGATATCCGTTATGAACTGCTAGCTCGTCTCTGCCCAAATAGCACAGGTATTTTGTACATGTGGTCATGCATATGGTCTGGTGACGTTATTTTCAATGATTATTCCTCTCTTTTTAGGTGCCGAGATTCGTAGCGTATGCACTGAAGCTGGTATGTTTGCCATTCGCGCTCGTTGTAAGATGGCTACAGAAAAGGATTTCTTGGATGCTGTTAATAAGGTGATCAAATCATACGCAAAGTTCTCTGCTACTCCACGTTATATGACCTACAACTAAGTATCTCCTGAATTTCATTCAACTTGTTGTACTCTCAAACTCATTATAATTATTATTTTATAAACGAACTCATTGCTCTTATTTCTCGGTGACAATTTTCTTAACCCTTGATAGTACCTTTAAGGAATAGTTTTTTTCTGTTTATGTTCGATTTTCTTGTTGCAAGAAAGCAGCTGAGTGAATAATTTTATTTTAACAATACCATGGAGTTATTTAATCCTGTCCTTGAATTAATGCAAGCTGATTGTGAGTGTTTGTCCATGTCTGGAAATGTGATCTCGTTATGACTGATAAATTCAAGTACTTTTCCAAGACGAAATGCATTGAATGACACTATGTGTTTATTGGGTGCGAAATATATAGAAATAGCGTGTGCAGATTCTAAAAGGACACTAGTTGGTTATTTTTGAAATAAACAAACCACAAAAGTATCAAAATAAATGCATTCTTTGAGGAATGACCTTCTAGTATACTTCGGCACGTTTATTCTGAAGAATTTGAAGTGCATAAAGTATATGGGACCATAAGGTGAAACAGTAGCCATGGGGGCAAGACATACGCTTTAACTTGTAGCGGATTGCTACCTTAGTAAAGCCTTGACTTAAGTCTCAGAAACCTCTTTGATAGATTCTATTATTTACCAAGTCTTCCAGAAGAAAGAGCCGTATCACTCAAACATTTATTCACTCGATAGGGGTAGTGAATATTGCTCGAAAGGAAAAGCTAATGATACAAAATGGCCAAATTCAAAAAACAAACACAGGCTAGGTTGCACACCGCACCTTAAGCCTAGTGTGGGCGCCTGCGATGAAGTGTCCCACAAACTCATATTGTTCCTCCTTAACATATTTTTATCCTCATGCTTTAATGGCTCTTAATACCCTTGCATATTAATTTATCCTATGTGTTTAGTTCTTCTTAATAGACTAATAGACAAATTCTCCAGTTTCTAACCCCAGTTGAGACTGTATTCTCGTTTAGCAAAAGGAAACTACTGCAATTTTATGATGGTGCAGCATGCTAGGCACTCATTCACATATGAATTATACTGTTGAGATTGTTAAAATTACTGTTGCTCTATGGTATTGATTGAAATTTGTAATGTTCAGAAACATTTAAATTAGGAACTTTGATATATTTTCGGAAATTCATTTGGCAACCAGTCAGCAATAAACACATAATTTTATTGATAACAAATCAATTGCGAATAAATTATTATTATTCAGACAAATTGTTCATTGATTTTCTCAATGATCTTTACATATACACAGCTCTTTTAATAATTCAAACCAATGTATTACATTAACCTCATTCCCATTTGAAATTAAATTCAACTGGTTTTCCTCTAGTTTTCTCGTAAACTCGCTTAATCCCTATTTAACTTTAATAAACTATCTGAAATGAAACTATTGATTTGTTTTGATATTTTGTTTTCTGATTTATGTATTTTTTGGCATTCCAGAAGGCATGGAGACTTGCCATGAACAACCAGTCCTTTTGTTCCGCAAAGCCTCTGCTCATGCTCATACTCCTTCTCGGGGCTCAGAATTAGCAGCTGGTTATGATCTATATAGCGCTGTCGATTGCGTTCTTAAGCCTGGAGGTCGCGCTCTTATCAACACGGACATTCAGATTTCTCTTCCACCTGGTTGTTATGGTCGAATTGCTCCTCGCAGTGGTTTGTGCCTCAAACATGGAATCGATGTTGGTGCTGGTGTTATTGATCAAGATTACCGAGGAAATATTATGGTGGTTCTCTTTAACTTTGGGGACGAAAATTTCATGGTTAGAAAAGGTGACAGAATTGCTCAACTCATCTGTGAGAGAATTTATTTGCCTACTCTGAAAGAATGCTCAATTCTCGATGAAACCAAGCGTGGCGCTAATGGCTATGGCTCTACTGGAGTGTAAAATATGTCCATTTAGCATTGGTGTTTTGTATCAACCAAAGAAATTTGGTGATGCTATATTTCTTGATTTATGGTAATTGCAGCATAACTTCGCTTTGTGTAAATGCAAGCTCTTGATATTTTTAAACGTGCTTCTCAGTAACTCGATTTTCCTTTGAGAATCTAAAGTTATCTAGGGCAATTTAGAGTAAGTTAAAATGTATTATTAGCTCTCTTATGACAACTAAAAATCTGGGTTTAGTTTAGGTTTTAAATTCAATGAGCTTGAGGTTAATAGTCCTGGCTTTTATCCGTGTACAATTTGTAAAGCCTTTGCTTTGCCACCATAACTAGATGAGGCCTTGTTTAATGAGATTAACGGTATATCTTGCGTGGAGTAATCCCTACCCCTGGTAAAGGTAAGATTTATTTCATCTACATCTATAGTTTATCTGTCCGCGGAACACCACTAGTCTACGGTTTATTTCATTTAGCAGAAAGAGAAACTAAAGATAAAGCCAATACACAGTACCTCCAAGGTTGTTTGTTCACTTGAACTGAAACTTTGTGGGTAGATAAAATTACAGATATTTGGCCAGCATACACCAGGTAAATAGTGTGTCTGAGTTCCTCTGGGGCTAAGATTTTTATTGGCCTTTCAAAAATCAAGTTAGGTTGCTTAATACTCCTCACGGGATTTATCTTTTAATAAAGGAAACCTGAGAGAGGCGAAGAAATGCGAGGAACGGAGCTTATCTCGAAGACTCCCAAACAAATACAAATGTAACTGGGAAGGAAATCGAAGAAATGCTAAACAACAACCCTCTGGAATTTATTTACAGCAATGAGGATCCGGCTACATATTCGCACTACAATGGAACCAGAACAACTCCTGACTTATTCCTGGTTTCAACCGGCATCAGTGAGCATACACGCCGCAAAATAATTGACGATCCTGGTTCTGGTCACAAACCAGTCATTGCTAATATTACCATCGGCAGCCAAAGCATGACATGGAAAGTGTCAACTAAGCTATCATGGAACTTCAAGAAGGTCGACTAGCCTAGATTTACAAACCTTTTGGAGAATGAACTTCACACAAGTCCACTCAACTTCAACCAACATCCTGACAAACATTGCAATGATATCACGAATATTATGATCAGATGTGCAAAGAAAACTATTTCCCGAGGCAAGACTAAACACTATCGAGTGTTTTGGTCTAGACACCTTGAGGAACTGAAAAGAAAGAGGGACGCCCTTCGCAACACTGCTGATCAGACAGGAAGAAAGGAAGACGTACAAGCCTGGAGACGGCAGTCAGCTGTCCTAAGACAAGCCATCTTACAAGCTAAACGGACTTCCTTCGGCAAGTTCATCTCAAATATCAACTATCAAAGTGATAGCCAACGCACTTTCAAATTTTTGGGTAACCTCCAAAACAACAGGGAAATACCCAAGAAAGAACCAATATGCTTAAACAACAAACTGATTACCACCGACTCCGATTTAGCTAACTGCTTTGCGAGGTTCTATTCCCACAGGCAAAAGAAAATCCCTTTTGTCAGAAAATCTTCAAGAGATTTAAAGATACAAGTAAGACAGTTTGGTGAAATTAAGGATGACACAGCAACACCAAATAATGTACTTACTGAATCATTCAGACCTTGCTAACTTAATGCTGCGATAAAACGGCTCAAGTGCAAAATGTCTCCTAGCGAAGACGGTATTCATCCGGAATTTCTAATTAGAATGGGACCAAAAGCCAAAGAGACCATGCTGACGCTTTTCAACAAAATCTGGGAGACCAGTCTCGTACCTAACCAATGGAAAGTTGCCATAGTAATACCAGTACTAAAAAAGGGCAAGGACCCTAGCAACTTTGACAACTATAGGCCTATCTCCCTCACAATCTTTCTGGCTAAACTTATAGAAAGAATACCTAACAGGAGGCTGACCTGGTTCCTTGAGACCAACAATATTCTTAGGAGTGAACAAGCAGGTTTTAGGCCACAAAGATCAACGAACCACAAGTACTCACTTTCTCCCAACACATCAAAGATGCCCTTGATGCAAGAAATACTCTTACGGCTGTTTTCGTCGATTTCAAATCAGCATATGACTTAGTATGGCAAGAGAAGCTAATTCTAAAATTGGCAAAGATTGGTATTAAGCATAACATGCTAAACTGGATAGAGGCATTCATTGGACAAAGATCATTTAAAGTCAGATATGGAAATGCTCTATCAAAATCCAATTTTTTACAAACAGGCCTTCCACAGGGAGCTGTCACAAGCTGCACTCTTTTCAATGTCTTCATCAATGACATAGCCGAATTGGTACAGCCAGTCACGAGCATCAAGTTCTTACTTTATACAGATGATCTTTTTCTATGGTATTCCGCCCCTAAGAAAAACGCACGGGAGAGGACAGAAAGTGCCCTAAATTGTGCACTTAAACTACTAGCAAACTGGTGCGACAGCAATGGAATGGTTATCAACACCGCGAAAACTGCTTTCCAAACATTATATTTGGCCCATCACAGCATAAACTCACTTCTAAGGTACAAGGATACTACCCTAGAAAAAACCAATGAGTTCACTTATCTCTGCGCATTCCCATGGACAAATTCTTCAGCAGCTATGAGATTAGACCAAGACATCTGAAAACTCTATCTTGTCTAATATAGAAAGCCACTGAACTGAAGAAAGCACTACAAATCGATGACAATCAAAAAAGTCTCTAGCAGACACTGATCTAGCGTTGCACCCAACTGCTTGACTACTTCAGGAAATCAAACACCCCACCGGAACAAATGCGCTCACAGGCCCTTGGGACAATCAATGCCAACTATCCTGCAGATCAATGGCTCCGAGTCTTCACTGATGGGTCATACATAGAAAACCAAGCACACGTTTGTGCAGGTGTCTACTCTGAACTCTTCTCTTTCTACGTAGCAGCGGGACAAAATAGATCTGCTTTCGAAGGAGAAATAGAGGTCATTAGGATAGCACTATGCCAATTATGTTGCCTGGATACGAAATTCACCAAAGCGGTGATACTTTCGGACTCACAAACGGCAATAAATTCAATTGGAAACAGAGAGCCACCCAAAACAGCCGAGATATACGAATGTAAAAAATCCCTTTTGTCAGAAAATCTTCAAGAGATTTAAAGATACAAGTAAGACAGTTTGGTGAAATTAAGGATGACACAGCAACACCAAATAATGTACTTACTGAATCATTCAGACCTTGCTAACTTAATGCTGCGATAAAACGGCTCAAGTGCAAAATGTCTCCTAGCGAAGACGGTATTCAT